TAAAAATTAGAAAATATCTAGAGCAGAATATTAAAATTACTCTGCATATGAGCTGAGGTTAGTAGTAGAACACCTGCCTAGCATGCACGAGGCCCTGGGTTCCAGCCCCAGCACCTAAAAAAAAAAAAAGTACTATACATAAAGTCCTTTGCACCCAGAGCACTAAAAGTGGAAGTGAGGATGATAAAGATGAAGCAATAGTCTGGGAGTGGGGTTATCTGTAGGACAAACTTGCCAGATGGCTGAGGCTGAATGAGGAGGGGTAAAGACCACAGGAAATGCATCTGGGGGTTACAATGATTTGGGGATGGGGGGATCCAAGGATGAAGCACAAACAACCCCATTAGTTGGTGGTTTTTCTAATTCCATTTCTCTGATGAGGGCTACTGAGATTGCTAATGGCGATCATTTAAGTCCCCCATTGAAGTGGCAGAGCCAGGATTTAAATCCAGATTGGCCCTCTTGATTTTCATGCTGCCCCTGAAAGTTCAGCAGAGGGAGGCAGGAGAAACTCTTTGGTTAACACTAAATTAACCTTAGATTAAGAGTTTTAGTCTCTGAAATAGTCTGCCAGAGGCATGTGGTCACCTTTCTCACTCTGGAGTGTATGGCTGAGTTGAGGGCTTTGGAGCATAGCTGTCACCTTCATTGATCTATCGATCCATCCAGAGCCTTGCCAAAATGCAGTCCTATATCTTTCATTCAATATTTAGCAAACACTTTTTTTTTTTTTTTTTACAGTACTGGAAGCTGAACCCAGGGCCTCCCCTGTAATAGGAAAGTACCCTATCACTGAGCTACATTCCTAGACCTTTTTCAATTTTATTTATTTATTTATTTTTTAAATTATATTTTTAGTTGTAGTTGGACACAATACCTTTATTTTACTTATTTATTTTTATGTGGGATTGAACCCAGGGCCTCACACGTGACAGGCAAGCGCTCTACAGTTGAGCCACAACCTCAGCCCTTAAATTTTATTTTGAGACAGTGTCTCACTAAGTTATTAGGCTATCCCTGCACTTGTGATCCTCCTGCTTCAACCTCCTGAATAGCTTGGATTAAAGGTGTGCACCACACATGTGGCCTTAAGCAAATACTTCTAGAGACTGTCCTAGAGATTCAGGGATGGAAGAGACACAGTTCTTACCTTGGTGAAACCCATAGTCCAAAGAGACAGGTCATGTAACCTGGACTTTCAAAGAGGCCTTACCTAAGATCAAAGGCCTATTATTATCCCGTTTGGGAGGATGTGGGTAATCTTGTTCATTGTTGGGGATACAAATTAGTGTAAACTTTTAGATGGCAATTTTGTGACTGCCTATCAAAAATTTAAGAACACTTGACCTTTGATCCAGCAATGTCATATTTATACATTTATCTTATAGATATACACATAAGGTTTTTATTTATTTATTTATTTTTAAACCGGGGATTGAACCCAGGGGCATTTAATCACTGAGCCACATCCCCAGCCCTTTTTATATTTTATTTAGAGACAGGGTCTTGCTGTGTTGCTGAGGCTGGTTTTGAACTTGTGATCCTCCTGCCTAAGCCTCCCAAACCTCTGGGATTACAAGCAGGCACCACTGCTCTCAGTCAGATATACACATAAGTGCAAACAAATATATATATATATATATATATATATATATATATATAAATCTAAATGTTCCCTGCAGGCAGCACTGTTTCTACCAGCAGGGGAATAGTAAAATAAGTTATGACAGATTCCTGTGATGGAGGAATGTACATCAGGCAGGTACGGTACAGTAAGTAAAAATAGCAAGGTGCTGCATGGTGTGAAGTGTGTGCTACTATTTCTGTCAACACCCCCCCCAACACACACACGTGACTTGTATGTCCCCAAAGTATCTCTGGAAAGATACATTAGCACTGTTACCTTTTTATTTTTTTAAGTAGAGGTACTTATGGAATAATAGTGAAGGGAAGAAGGGAGGTGACTCTCAGGGAAATCTGCTAGTCACCTGAGCTTTGAGTGTCCCCAGCAATTGCACAATCCCTCCATCAGGTGTAACAAAATGAAATGTCACCCCTGCCTGATTTCACTCATTGCCAAAAGTCTTGACCTGTTTTGGCTGTCATACCAACTGTTCCCAGAAGGAGGCAGCACAGACCCACCAAAGCATTGGTTGCAAACTTGACCATCAAGCCTCATCTGTAGGATTTTCTCCTCTGTGGACCATGATTGGAAAGTTACTTTCTGCCCAGCCAAGCACATTTATTTATTTTATTTTTACTTTTTTAATATTTATTTTTTAGTTTTCGGCGGACACAACATCTTTGTTTTTTGTGTGTGGTGCTGAGGATTGAACCCAGTCCGCACGCATGCCAGGCGAGCCCGCTACCGCTTGAGCCACATCCCCAGCCCCAATAAAGAATAGTCTTTTTTTTTTTTTGGTGGTACTGGGGATTGAACCTAGGGTCTTGTGCATAGGCAGCAAGCACTCTACCAACTGAGCTACATCCCCAGCCCCCAAGCACATTTAATAGGTTAAAACTGATTATATTTTCTCTTTTTATTATTATTATTATTATTTGGTAACTCCTGGTTCTGATCAACATGAGAGAGAAAGACTCAGGCTTGCTGGAATGATAATTTTCAGCATAAGTGGTTTTACTTAATCTAGCCTTATATTTGCCAGGCTTTGGGTAACAGATGGTAAGTAATGACCTGAGGACCCTAGGGATTGAAGACCTAGACTGGCGGTGGCTGCATTACGGTCTTTCTGGGTTCTCAGCTGTAGGGCACACTCATATCTTCTCTGCCTTTCTCAAAGGGGTAGTTCTTTTTTAAAATATTTATTTTTCAATTATAGTTGGACACAATAATTTTATCTATGTATCTATCTATCTATTTATTTATTTATATGTGGTGCTGAGGATCGAACCCAGGGCCTCCCACGTGCTAGGCAAGCGCTCTACCGCTGAGCCTCAAAGAAGTAGTTCTGGGCAAGAGGAAGCATGGGCACCTCAACCCACAGACTGCCTTGAAGTAGTCATTCTCCCAGATACCTGTGGAGTCTGTCCCTTGCTAGGCTGTGAGCGGTAGGGACTCTTCTTTTTGGTCACAGAATCCCAAGGATCCTAAACACAGTACTGGGCTGGGCACACAATTGGTACTATGGAAAATTTGTTGATGAATTGAAATGGCCACTGAGGAAATAGGAGCTAAATTCTTAAAAAAAAAAAAAAGAAAGAAAGAAAGAAAAGAAAAAGAGGAAAAAGAGAAGTCCATAATCTCAAGGGCAAGGCCTCAAGGGTAAGGTTTATCATCTGTTTCAGAATGGAAGAGATGGCAACCGGCAAGCAATGGGTCACCTTCCCAGCAGGCTCAAGGACAATATTGCTGTGACCCACCTTGGGGGTCCCTGGCTAGGACATGACAACTCAATAACCTGGGGTGCTGGTCACCTTGGCTGAAGAAAGGCTTAAATTAGGTCAGTGTGGGAGAAGGGATCAGCTCATCCCAGGGTCTTCCTCAAGATTTGATGATTTCCCAGTTCCTGATGAAACTCTTGTCAGTGGTTTGAGGGCAGAAGGAGGAGGAAACTATTAAGGAAGGGATCACATATAGCACTGGCCTTGCCTGGAGAAAGTTCAGGGCTCATTCAGTGGGCACTCCCTCTCCAAAGCCCTGGTAGTGTAGGGTGGGGCCAATGGGCAGCCCCACAAATTAAATAGGAACAGAGAGAAGCAATTGAAAGAGTCTTAGTTTCATGCTGGAGATTGAGCCCCAGTCCTGAGGGTCCACCCCTTCATACTCTCCCATCCTAGATAAGAGGATCAGTGGGGGACCAGGGCAGCAACCCCAAGACAGGGTAGATTTTGGCGGTGGATAGGGAGGAGGCCTGTTTCTGCCTTTTCTTTGCTGTGTGTCCTTGGAAGAGTCACTAACCATTCCGAGCTTAGTGTCCCCATCTCTAAAACAAGGACATCAATACATACCTTTGATAGGATGAATGTGAAGAGCTTGGAAGCATTTCTGGAATTAGCAGACATCAGAGATTATTATTCTCAAAGTCGAGAGGCCATCCTAGATTCTTGGTGGTGACAGCGACAAGATATTTTCCCCCTCCTCTGCGGTGCCTGCTCTTTTTCCAGCCTAGCAGCTGTCTTAATCCTCCATTCCTCAACACCCTGCTTTTCCTTGGCACTGTCTTGGTGGTCCCCAGTTTCTCCAGCCTGCTCTTTTCCATGGATTCCCCCGTTCTAAAACCCCTGGGGATGCCCGCACAGGCACACAGTAGAAGTGGGACAGGTGGTGAGGGTCTCGGCTGCTGCGGTCGGTGCCCCCACCGTTTGGGGGCTTCTGTTTGCAGATGGTTCCCTCTGGTCCTCAGCTCATATCTAGACTAATAGAGGAGGATAGATACAGAGGTGGGGGGCCTGGAAGGGGGTTTCCACCTTCTCGGTTGGGGACCCAAGAGGGGAGCGCAACCCTCGCTCCCAACGTCGCATCACCACAGATCCCCAATCCGCGCTCGCATTTGTTGACACCATTCCACTCGGTGGTCTACCCTCTCCAGCTCCAGGCCACGATCCCCCTCACCCAGCCAGGGCCAATCCCCCACGCTCCCGGCGAGCCGAGCGATGCGGTTCTAGGACCCGGAGGCGCCACCGAGCGCGCCGCCGCCTCGGCCTCGCCTTGGTTGCCTGCGGCTTCGGCAGGTGAAGCGACGCCCGCCGCCGCCTCCACGGCAGGTGAAGCGGGCGGCAGCCCCCTCCCCGCCGCGCCATGGCTGTGGAGGACCCCCGGCCGGCGCCCGGTTCCCGCCCCCTCCCTCCAGCCCGCCCCCCTGGGGCTGGGTGCGCGGCGGCGGCGGCGGACTGCGGTTTGTGCGCACCGGGAGCGACAGCAGAAGTTCGAAAATCGCGGAGGGGGGAGCCCGCGCCGCAGCTTCCTGCCCCCGGCCCAGCCCTCTGGCCCCGGCGGCCTGCAGCCTGACTTCCTCCCCCCACCCTGCAGCTCGCCGCCGCGCTCCCTCGGACGGGGCCACCCCGATGGGACGCAGCGCCCCGACCCCTGTGCGCCGCTGAGCCAAGCGCCCGCGTCGCCGCGAGCTGCTGACCCTCGCCACCTGGGCCGGGAGCCCCGTCCCGGTCCCCTGGAAAGCTGGATTTCCGAGGCTGGAGGCGCCTAGCCGGCTGGGTGGGGACCACCATGGGCAACGCGGCCGGCAGCGCCGAGCAGCCCGCGGGCCCTGCCGCGCCGTCCCCGAAGCAGCCGGCCGCCCCCAAGCAGCCGATGCCCGCGGCCGGGGAGCTGGAGGAGAGGTTCACCCGGGTCCTGGTGAGTGTGACCCGTTGCGCGCAGGGCGCGGGCGAGGGGCGGCAGGGGCTCGCCACGCGTCCCCGCCCCCGGGGGTTCAGGTGCCGCTTGGAGATCCCCCGCCCAGCGGCTGCCCCCTCCAGGGATGGCAGTGACGGTGGCTTCTTTCAGAGTGACTTAGCACTCCCCCCAAAACTTTCTTCTGCATTCGCCAGTCTCTCTCCCTAGACAACCCTCATGCTCCCGGATCTAAAGGTCCTTAAAATGTCCTGTGAGGAAGATGGGAGCGCAGCGCAAGGGGGCCCCAGGCACTCCCTTCCCCACTGCTCGCAGGCCCAGCCACTGGGTGCGGGTCTCCAGCATTTGCCCTTCTGTGTCTCCGGGTCAAAGATGGAAGGGGTTACAATTTAACCTTCTGGAAGCCGCTGACCTAGAGCAAGTGTTTGGTGTGTTCGGGTGCCCGGGCTGCTGAGCGGGTAGTTAGATCATGCAGAGGGGGGTGTCTGTGTTTCTCACTCCCCCGTATGCCTGGACAGGTCTCAGGCATCCCCTCCTAGCTACTGAAAGGAGTACATTAGGAAGGGCGGGGTCAGGATGGGTTGGCCACTGACTTGGGGTGGAGCAAAAGTCAGAAGCCCCCTTCCACTGTCACCTGCCTGGGGAATTGGTGTGGGGATGCTGGAGCCTAGCCCACTGGAGAGGGACTCATCAACTCAGGCTGAGCCTGAAGAGGTCAAAATATGTTTGGTGCTGTGGGGACTCCATAGAAGTCAGGGGTCTTTAAGACTGGTGGGCAGAAGTAGGGAGAGGGCAGGGCCACTTGTTCTCACTTCCCCTTCCATACCTCAGCCCTCTTCTCTGCTCCTTTCTCTAATTGCCTGGTGGCCTGTCTGCTGTCAGCTGTCCCTTGCTGGATACTTTGTGACAGGAGAATAAGATTGGGCTGTTTCCCAGAGGCACTTCCCAGTCTGGGCAGGCTGGCACTGCAGGTTTGAGGGTGGGGGCTCAAGGCAGGCACAAGGAGCAGAGTAGTGCTGGCTCAGTGCTTGTCCCCACCCCGTCCTAGACATTATTCCTCTCTCTGTCTAGTCATTAGGCCCTACTTGCTAGATCATCTGCAGGGCTAGATCCCTCCTAAGGGTTCCTGAGAGTCACATGCTGCCCCTCCCAGGAGAAGGTTAGGAGGGATCTGGAGGAACTCTGGGGTGGGGTGCGGTCTATCCTTGTGAAGGCGCCTTGCTTGAAGGGGAAGGGGAGGGACTTTGATGGACACCTCACACCACACTAACCCCAGACTTTCCCCATCTCTCCACCTGTCCCTACTTCCCACCTCCACAGAACAAGGCAAAGCTAAGCTGAGCTGAGCAGATGGGGGAGGGGCACGTGGAGACACAGTCTCTGGATCCATCAGTGGTGGATCCCTGAACTCCCACTCTGAACTCCCCAGATGGTGGGGCAATGTGTGTCTGTAGGTGGGGGTGGGGCAGGCTTCAGGCCTGAGGTCCAGGCTCCAGGCTGCTCTCTGTTATTCACACTAATGGGGGGAGGAGCCATGGGAGTGAATAATTCAGACCAATGGAAAACCCAAAAGTCAAGTGGTGATGTTCTGATGTAGGTATAGGACTTGATTGCCCTGCTTAGATTTGTGACTGTAATTGACTGGTTGAGTCTGACATAAAATGTCACTGCACACACCCCCACCCCCACCTTGGCCCCCTGCCTTCCTGCCAGTACCAGGGTATGGAAGTGGGGAGGCCCAGTGATCTCAGAAGGTATCCTGGCCAAGAAAGAGTTGGTGGCTGGGGAAAAATCTAGGGCAGCAGCACCCATTGGGGGCCCCACTCCTCCCTGACCCCCCGGAACCCCAGTGTGTTTACACCTTCTTCTTGGGGTGGATCAACCCATGCCTTGTCCTGTTGTGGGCAGAATGAACCCAACCTCAGGTCACTTGGCTAAGAACCTGGTTCTTCTTACTTTCTGTGAACTGGGGTATGAACTCCACCCTGGGGTGACAGCCTTGACCTCTGCCTGTGCTGCCCAGGGTAGAGGATTTGGGTGAACCCATGGGTCTGGCATTGGTTGTTTCAAGTGGTTCCCATCTGACCACCACCCCTGGGACCAGAGCTGTCGTTAGTTGATGTTCAAGAGAAGAAACTTAGATTGCTGGGGGCCACCACCCTCAGGGATCCTCCAGTCTTGATGGGAGAAGGTACCTTACCTTGGCTCTAGTCACCTGGCCTCAGGGAACCTCTTTCTTTTGCTTCAGCTTGGCCCCTTGTCTGTCCCTGGTGGTTAATAGGATCCCAGCACCCCTAACTTTTCCTTCTCTCTTAATGGTGAGGCTCCTAGATGACAGGTACTCTCACCAAGGCCCAGAGCCAGGCAGAGGTTACAAGGAGGCTTTTTTCTATGCAAGGGTAAACAGAGGGGCACAACCTTTCCAAGAAGGCTGTGTGAGAGAAGACTGCCCCTGCTTAAAATGCTGATGGGGAGAGAGCGGGTTGAGCCAGGGTTTCTGGCTGCTGCCTTAGCAACCGTGGAGGAGCGATGGCTGCCCAGCCACATGGGCCTGCTGCGATGGTGGGAACACCAGCCAGCCAGGCTCCGAGCTCTCGCCTCTCCTACGCCCAAGCCCAAGGCTGGGTGTCTTCCAGCCCTCGTGCCTTCTCCTTTGAGGCAAGTAGGGTGACAGATCTGGATGACAAGGCATCCTTTACAGGCCTGCCAGAGTGGCATGTGTACAGGACACCCCTGATCTCTCTGGGCAGAGAGGAGCCTGTGGCCTTGGGGTAAAGGGATAAGGGAAAGAGCCTGGGATGATGTCCCAAGGCTGAGGGTGATGCTGGCATCCAAGAGGGGACTGAGCCATTGGAGAGGAATTTGCCCCATGAGGGCCTATCACCTGGGGTGCTCAGACTGGTGTCCAGGGACATGGTCACTTGATCAGGTAGTGTGGGGCACTGAGCCCAGCTGCAGGCAGGGCAAGGTTCCTTGGAGTCCTGCCACCAGGATGGGCCCTTTTCCCTGTGGGCTGGTGGTGAGGAGCAGGAGTGTATGTCTCTAGTCTGACTGAGGTGTGCATCCTTGGCCAGCTCCCTCCAGGAGGTGGGCAGAGGAAGTTTGAGGGCATGTAGCCCAGACACTGTGCTTCCCACCTCTGGGGTGTCTTCCACAGAAGATCTTAATGAGGTGTGGCCTTGTGGTTAGATTTTGGGCTGGGCAGAGACTGTGGGTGACATTCCCAGGCAGGGCTGGCATATGCTGACCCTGGAAACCCAGGGATGTGGTGGACATGATTCACAGTGACATCTGGAGCGGTTGGCAAAGAGCTGGGTGAGATGGGCAGGAACAGGTGAGGCTGTTCTTGGTACCACCTCTGCATTTTTTTTTTCCCTTTGGGAATACAGAATTCTAGAAGGTGACTTAGATATCCTTGCCTTTGAGGGAGCAGGGGTTACTCAGGAGAAAGGCAGGGAAGGTTTCTGGGTACTGGGATCATGAAGTATAAGGGCTGAATTTTTTCTTTACTCCTTACTTGCTGCGTGACCTTGGACAAGTTACTTAATTTCCCAAGCTTCAGTTTTCCTTATGTGTGTAAAAAGACAATGTTAAAGGTATCTGCCCACCTGCTAGGATTTTTGAGGAGATTCAGTAAAGTGCTCAGCACCATGCCTGGCATGGAGCAAGTGTTAATAACTGCTCTTCACTGTGAGGAAGTGAAGCTGGCCTGGTCCTCTCCACCTTGGGGCCCTTCTCCGTGAAGGAGCCCAGATCCTGATTTCCCCTGTCCCATCTCCCTCACCAAGAGCACCCATGGGTGTCAGGCATTCCCGAGGAGCCCCCAGATCTCTAGCCATCACAGGCCAGGCTGCCTCCCTGCCATTATGCAGGTCAGCAACAGCAAGGCCCATACTGAAAACTGCCTGGTGGCCGGAAACCACGAGAGGGAGGCCACCTCTCCTGGAGGGTGGGGCAGCGGTGGGGCTAACGGTAGAAGTGTGCACAGGGGGAGGGGGTGGGGAGGCCTCCACTTCCCCTGACAGAGGACGTGCTGAGGGGGGGTTCCCCAGTGAGTAAGAGCACAGTGTGGGTAACAACAGGAAGTGCAGAGCGCTGGGTGGCAGGAAGTGCTGCTGGCTGTTCCTGGTTCCTCAGATGGGGTGACTGGGGCCATGTTGTCTTCAGAAGACCCCTCGGGGCCAGGATCCACACTTCTCATTGACCCCACTGCCCTTTTTTCCTAAGGAAACCAAGTCTCTTAACCAGCCTGTCTTCTAGAGGTCACCTTGAACAAACCATTGAGCTTCTCCGTGCCTCAGTTTCCCATTTGTAAAATGGGGATGCTAATGGGGTCTACTTTGCAGCTTGTTGCTGAGGTCTAAATGAGTTAATAGATGTAAAGCATGTAAGATGGCACCTGGCCCAGAGGAAGTGTTTCAGGAGTATTATTATTGTCACCACCATCATTGCTATTGTTATTCTTCTGCCAGCTGGATCATGTGGGCAGGGCCGGGTGTCCTGGTTCTCATGCTCCTTGCCTTCTACCTGCCCTGGGCACCCTTGAGCTCAGGTGGGGGAAGCTGTTAGCTTTTGGGGTTCTTAGCACCTAATTCAGGGCAGGTCACCTATGGCCTCCTCTAAGCCTAGAATTCTTTTTTTTTTTGGTGGGGGGATATACTGGAGATTGAACTCAGGGGCATTCAACAACTGAGCCACATCCCCAGCCCTATTTTTTGTAATTTATTTAGAGACAGGGTCTCACTGAGTTGCTTAGCACCTCACCATTGCTGAGGCTGGATTTGAACTCACGATCCTCCTGTCTCAGCCTCCTGAGCTGCTGGAATCACAGGCGTGCGCCACCACACCCTGCTAAGCCTAGGAGTCTTGTAAGAGTTCCAGAAATTCTATACTGGGATTTTAAGGAGTAGATGCTATTGATTGTTTCTGCAGATGCTTCGAGAGCTTTGAAGCCAAAATAGAGGTGATGGGCTAGATAGGGACTGGGAACTGGGGACAGGCCCAGATTCTGGGCCCTCTGGGCTGAGGAATCCCTGTGGAGCTGGCCTGACACTGGGATTGGTGGGTGTCCAAGTTCAGGGGCATCTTGGGGTTTAAAGGGCAGAGGTACTAGGAGGCTCTTGGGTTGGGATGGAGACTCTGCTCAAAATGAAAGCGAAACTGTAGGGTGTGGTCAGTGTCCAGATGTGGCCCGAGCCCTTCAGTCTCCTGGGACAATGCTTTAGAAGTCAGCACTCGTGGGGCGGTGCCTGGGGTGGGAGGCTCCAAGCATGAGCCTGCAGGGGCTGGTCTTGGGTGAGCAGAGAGTGGGGTTGCTCTCTGGTAGGTGGTAGGGACATGGAGGGAGGACAGTGGTTCCCACACAGTCTCATGGCAAGATTCAGCTTCTTTTCTTGATCATAGAAAAGAAGAAATAAGTCCCATCTCCCTCGTCATCAGGTCCAGGACACTAGGAAAGGGACTGGGGACCAGTTCATGTTTGACCTTGCCCCTTGGAGATAGGCCTGTCTCATCTGTATGTTTCCACAAACTTCTATTCACCCTATCATGCCCTACCTTGGGGTCCCATGTGGACTCCCCCAACCCTGTGTCCCCACATCTGCAAAATTCCTCTTCCCCATATTGGGTCGCTGAAGAACATTATTATGTTGAACCAGAACTTGGCACTCAGCAGTCCCAGGAGCTCTGTGTGGTGGGAGTGTGCTCATTTTATGGAGGCAGGAGCCGAGGCTCAAGGAGGCCAAGAAGCTATAGGGTTCGTTTTCTGGAATGAAGCTCCACTTGCTCCACACCACAGTTGCTCCTCTTCTGTCCTCCTCTCAGGTGCCCCTCACACACACACCTGGACTGCCTATCCCTTCCTGTCCTACTTGAGCAACGTCAGCTTTCTTCTTGTCCCCCCAGCCTCCATCCACAATACTGCCTCCTTTGCTTAGGGCCCAGGTCTGGGGCTCTGATCCTGTTTTCAAGGTGGCCTCACCTCACCCCAAGTGAGTGGCATCTGCTGGCCCCTCTCCCACTCCCTGGTACTCATCTCTTCGGTGGGCACTGTCACAGGCGGGGAGCAGCTGCTAATTAGTGCTCAGCGCTGTCAGAGCTATTTCTGATTTCTGAGCCTAATTTTAGCACGTCTGGCAGGCTGGCACGTGGGCCTGGGGCCTGAGGACGGCCAGGTGGGGAAGGAGCAAAGGGGCGCCCTGCCTTCCACCAAAGTGGGGACAGGTGTGCCAGGCCCCAGCAGAGACCTCCCCTCCCCAGTAATAACCCTGGGCCGCCCTTGGGGAGGAGACCAGCACTGTAGCTCCGTCTTCCTGGCTCCCCTCTTACTGGCATCCTGACCTTGGGCCGGTCACTCCACTAATCTGTGCTCACACCTGTGGGCATGACGGCACCAACAGTGGCGGAGAAGGTAGAAGGCCGTTGGCAACATTCCGGGTGCTGAGTGGTACCTGGCACTATACACACTCAGGCGAAGCTGGCTACTGTGACTGTTGGAGTTGAGATTATGACTGGACCTGCCATTGTGCCATTCCAGAGCCAAACAGGTCTCAAGGGCAGGTGAGGCCCAGGAAGTCCCATGTCAGGAAGTGGCCATCCCCTCTGAGGCTCAGATGCTGGTGCTCAGCCACCTACCCCTGCATTTCCCTCTTCTGTGCCACTGCTCCAGGGTCCTGGCATTGCCTGTCACCTCCTGCTTCCTCCTCTCCCCTCAGCATCTCAGCCCCGCCCTGCCCTTTGTCTCTGTGGGGTGGATGTGGCTTAGAGAGAGACAGAGCAAGGATGGCCTGGTAACTCTCCCCCCAGGCAGAGTAGGTCCCCCAGCTTGAAAGCCCCTTCCACAGGGGTCTGGGCATAGCAGGAGCTGTCTTAGGCCCTGGCCTGGTGGCAGGCAGGACAGAAGTTGGGACTATGGCGGATTCCTCAATCCAGGCTCACTTTAGCAGTAGGGGACAGGGATGACGTACCCCACTCCCAGCTGGCTGGGAGTCTAGTGGGTGGGCAGTTTCACCTCTCAAGTGAGGCCTTGGCCGGAAAGGTTAGGCAACTGGGACTGAGAACACCCAGCTTCCTGTTATCTGAGGATGACTCAAGGCAGTGATTTTTTGGGGTGAAGTCTAGCCAGAGCCCTAGACTTAGGCCCAGCGTCCAAGAGAGGAAGCTGGCTGAGGAGCCTTGGGTGGGTGTGGTCCCTGCTCTGCTCCAGCTGTAGCCTCTCCTCAGAACCCTGTGACTGAGAGTGTGTAGCCCAAACCACAGAGCTGGGGACAGGAGCCCTACAGACTCTGGCTGGGGCTCTCAGGGGGCTCCCACATCACCAGTGGAGACCCTGGCTGAACTGGAAATTCCATGAGGGCAAGACCTGTCTGACGCACAGGCTGTCAATAACCCTGGGGTTTTCCCTATTGAGGTGAACTGGCCCTGTCTTCTGAGTCTATTAGGGAGACTCACCACGTCCTTGGGTCCAGGGAGCCCCTGCGGCTGGCAACACTGGGTTGATTCCACAGCCCTGGGCTGGACTCTATGCTTGCCCTGTGGTGACAGAGAAACTGTGGCTAAGGAAGAGGACCCATACAGAGTTCTGCTGACCTTTCTTAGCTCCTGAGGGGAGTCCCAGCCTGGGCCACCAGCATCACAGGCCTAGTGTACTAGCTGTTCCGCCCAGTTCCTGTGACTGAGTGACCTTCCCTGTTCAGATCCCCCCACCTCTGCATCCGTGATGCACCTGCCTGGAACTCCAAGCTTGGATGACATGGCTGCCCTCAGCTCTCTTCCTTCTTGGAGGGGAAGAGGGAGATACAGAGAAGGATGAGGCTTTTGAGTGCCCTGGGCCTAGGCTTTGCTCATATCCACAGGCCACACCTAAGCCTGGTTGGAGATGGCTCCCCTGTTAGCTTCTCACCTGGATGGGAGGAGAGATGGGGAAACTAGAGCCCAGACGTGTCTGAGGTTCAGGGAGTGCATACATCTGTCTCTTGCCAATTTTTTTTAGGGAGCTGAGGTGAGGGGATGACAGCAGACTTGGATTCAAATAGTGGGTCCCTTTTGGGTTGTTGGGCCCTAAGGTGCTCTGCTCTCTGGGCATTGGTTTTCTCACTGGATAACACTGTTTATCTCCCAGGTGAGAGGATGACATATCTTCTAGTGGGTTCCCTGAAAATACCCCTCCTCCCCTTCCTTATCATTTTGGGGCCATAGGCTCAGGGTCTTATTTTTTCTCCCCTCCCCAGAACTGTATGAACTTACCCCCGGACAAGGTCCAGCTGCTGAGCCAGTATGACAACGAGAAGAAGTGGGAGCTCATCTGTGACCAGGTGGGTGTCAGGTTGGTTCTGTTACCCATCTGTCCTGGCATTGGGGGCATCCTGTCTTGACCAGGCTGATGCTGGGGCAAAGCCCATACCTAGAGGCTGGGTTGGCATCTGGGTAGGGTGCTGGGGATCTCTCTAGGACTCTGAGTTCCCCTCCCTTTGACACCAGTCTCCCTAGAGACCTTGTGAGTCACGAGCAAGGCTGGTCCTGTCCTGAAAAGCTGATAGGAGCTGGGCCAGGGCACTGGCCAGGCAGCTGGGCTGGTTCACTGTCCTGCTGAGCTTCCTAAACAGCCTCCCTCCCCCTCCCTTTTTTTTCTTCTTCTTCTTCTTCTTTTTTTTTTTTTTTTATTGGTACTGGGGATTGAACCCAGAGGCACTTAACCACTGAGCCACATCCCCAGTTTTTTTTTTTAAATTTTATTTAGAGACAGGGTGTCTCTGAGTTGTTTAGGGCCTCACTCAGTTGCTGAGGCTAGCTTTGAACTCCCAATCCTCCTGCCTCAGCTTCCTGAGCCACTGGAATTACAGGTGTGAGCCACCAAGCCCATCCTTGAGCAGCCTCCCTTGACCCTTCCAACCTGCTTGGGCTGGAGAAGGGAGATGTCCACCTGGGTCCTACATCTTCATTGAGCTCATTAGAGGGGGCAGGAAGGGACAGGACTCCCTGTCCTTCTGTTCCTTCACATTCAGAGGAGATATAGTCAAGGAGCCACCACGGCCAGCCAGTTTAGACCTGGGTCCCTCAGAGCTTGGTCCAGGCCTTGGGCTTGCCACCCTCACAGCCCACTGGGCTGCTGTGGACGAGGAGGACCCCTCCTAGTTCTGGGTAGGGCGGGGTTGGCTGCTGGGGATCCTGTAAGGTGGAGGCAGGAGCAATGTTCCAGTGGAGGCTGTGGAGGCTGGGCGTGGGGAGCTGGGGAGCCAGCGCCTCCCCTGGGGCCCACAGAGCCTCCCTCTAATGGACTGGATGAAATGAGTTGGCTAGGCATCCATCTAGGGCAAGGCTGGGCTGTGGCAGAGGGCGGAGGCCTCTAGAGGCTGTGGAGCTGTGAGTGTGTGGGGGTGTGTGGGGGAGGGTTGGGGGGTCTTACTGAAGAGGCTTGGCCTGGCATCTCAGAGGTAGGGACTCAAAGCCTGGAGAAGTAGAGGGTCATGGGGGGGTGGCTGGGCACATCCAAGATGGGAGGGATGGGAGCCCTTGTGGGTGGGGGTCTCTGCATGGTCCCTCTATGGGAGTCTCCCTGCTGTCCCAGGGCTGGGGTGGCTGAGTTAGGAGTTGCTTTGTGTAACACAGAAGAGGAGCCCCCACAAGGGCACCTACCAACACAGGTGGACAGGAGTCCTGGGGGAGAGGCCTCAGCCTGCCAGAGTCCCCCTACCACACACTGCCTGTACTCCCAGCTCTAGTCCAGGGAGGGCAGGGAAGGTGCCGCCTACTGTTCAGACTGAATCCCCCCTGGCGCTGGGCCTACACAGGATTGACCCTTTACATTCTACCCACGGAAACCAGTGGGTAGAAGACGACTGTGGCCTGGGGAGGCCACAGCAGGAGGGGCAGGCCAGGCCTGGGGCTAGATGGTTTGGGTTTGTGCCATTGGTCCTTCAGAGGCATCTTAAGACAGCCTGAGCCCCAGGTTAGAGCAGAGAATGGGACACTGGGACTAGGACAGGTCATTTGCCCCAGGGCAGCTCTGACTGCTTCCCTGTGCCCCCATCCATCTCAGGAGCGGTTTCAAGTCAAGAACCCCCCTGCCGCTTACATCCAGAAGCTGAAGAGTTACCTGGATACCGGTGGGGTCAGCAGAAAGGTAGCAGCTGATTGGATGTCCAACCTGGGGGTATATGTCTCCCCTTTTATTCTCTCCTTTCCCCCTGCACCTTCCAGGCTCTGGGCAGCTGGCATAGCCATGTGAATCAACTTGTCTGTGGGTTTGTGTCAGTGTGTGTGTGTGTGTGTGTACCCCATGTGTCCATGCATGGGTGTGTGCGCACCCTATGTCTATGTCCCCAGGGTGGTGTGTGTGGATGTGCATATGTGTGTGGATCCAGGATGTGCATGTTTAAATTAGTATGTGCCCTGTGTGCCTATATAGGAATGTGTGTGTGTCTACGGGGAGGTGTGTATGTGTATATGTGTACATTCTGCGTCTGTGTATGTAGCTTGTGTGTACCGTGTGCGTCTGTGCATGGGGAGTGCATGCATCCTGTGAGTGTTTATTCTGCTGGGCAGGTGTGTGGAGGTGGTGGGGGAGGCAGAGCGTGAAAGGCCCTGTGTTGGGGGTGGGGAGGGTGGGCATGCTGGCCGCTGCCTCAGGGCTTGATGGCCTGTGGGAAACTGTGCTCCACCCACCACACTCCTTGTTCTTGGTTCTCAGTTCAAGAGGCGAGTTCAGGAGTCCACACAGGTTCTGCGGGAGCTGGAGACCTCCCTAAGGACAAACCACATTGGGTGAGCAAGGGCCTAGATCCCCTCGGGTCTAGGAGGGCTTCCCCTGCCCCCTTCGTAGGCTGTGCCTGTAGACCACCTCCTAGTGGGTGTCCAACAACTCCTCTTTTGCTCCTGCCCATCCTCAGTCGGCATCTTGGTGCCTGGCTGGACCATGGCCCTGCCTGAGCCCCCAGTACCCCCTGGCATTACTGGGTCTCCTGAGGTTGGATGTGTTGGTGTCTTCCTGGGGCAAGGCCATCCAAGGGCTATGCCTGTTCTGGAAGGACACTTCCCAGATGGGACTCAGGGAGCCTGTGCCCTACAGGTGGGTGCAGGAGTTTCTCAACGAGGAAAACCGTGGCCTGGATGTGCTCCTGGAATACCTGGCCTTTGCCCAGTGCTCTGTCACGTAAGCCCCCAACCCCACCCTCATGCCACTCTTTGGAGCCTTGATCCATGTGTCCCTCAGCCTCAGCCCACACCTCTAGCCAGTTCCAGTCAGCATAGTTGGAGCCCCCAGGACCCAGTACTTGGCCCTGCACACCCCTTCCTGAAGGCATGCCCATTCAAGGAGGGATGTCCCCTCACTTCTTGCTGTGCTCAGCCCAGGGCCAAGAACACAGCCTCCTGCTCTTGTCCCAGTTTTTCCTGCAGGTCTGGCCCACCTGGCAGTTTCCTCCATCCCCTTCTTAAGTGTCCCCTGCAGTGCTGGCCTCCAAGCCCCTTGCATCGTATCTCCAGGTATGACATGGAAAGCACAGATAACGGCGCCTCCAACTCAGAGAAGAGCAAACCCCTGGAGCAGTCTGTGGAAGATCTTAGCAAGGGGCCACCCTCATCAGTGCCCAAAAGTCGCCACTTGACCATCAAGTATGTGGTCCCTAAGACAGGGTGGCAGGAGAATGAAGAAGTCACCCCCATACTGTCACATCTAGACATCTCTATACATGGCCCTGGGGGCTGGGGAGGGGTAACCAAGCATGGGGGACCAGAGTCAGGGCCTCACAGAGCACTCAGGACACTAATATGTTAAGGGATGAGCACCTGGGTGGGTCTGGGATGAGGAGGGGCCTTCTGGGGTGGTAGGACCTCTCTTGTACCCATCTAATCCCCTGTTTTCTCCTATGCGGCCTCCAGGTGCCCCCCTTCTCCCCGGTACGTAGCCACCTGGGGGCCGGTGCTTGCCTGGCCAGCTCCCTGGAGGGTGGGTGGGTTGGATGGGGCATTCAGCTGACATCCTTGGGTTCAGCCACTGTGGTAGGTCTCCTTATCTAAATATAGGGCATCCTGCTGGGAGGTGGGAGGAGGAAGGAGATGACCCTGGAGCATCATGTGGAACCCAGCTTCCAACTTTGGGTCTAGGGAACCAGCTGCATATTAACCCCCAAACTCTCACAATATTTCTCTGTTCATTCATTCCCTTATTCATTCAACAAACATTTTAAAGCACTTACTATGTATTAGGTATGTGGCAGGTACCCATATGTCAGATCATCCTCCTTTGGGGGTTCCATAATCTAGTGGGGAACAATTCAGTGTGACAGGTTGTCACAGAGATGTGGCAACTTTAAGAAGGGAGGTGGCCATGACCTGGGGCATTAGCAGGGCTACCCAGAAGGGATGATGCTGGAACTATGTCTTATAGATGGACAGAGGCTGTATAGGCAACAATAGGGGCAAGGAAGGGCAGTCCAGGGGGAAGGAACAGCAAAGACTTAAGCATATTTGTGTCATGACGTAAACGGGTGATGTAGCAAGCAGAGGCGAGGACTCGGGAGGAGGTGGGGCCTCTCAGTGTTGCTGGAAATGTGATAGAATTACCAAGAGGACTGACGTGGAAGTCTCCGTTGGCAGTTCTACAAAAATGAAAACATCACACTTTTTTTTTTTTGGCCAAGAATAATTGAGCACGCACGCACATGTAGTCCTTACTAGGTGCCAAGAGCTGTTCCGAGCTCTTTTCATAGTCCCAGCAACCCTGTCAAGAAGGTGCTATTATTGCCATACCTATTTTACAACTGAGGAAACTGGGGTACAGGGAGATTAAGTAACTTGCCTAGTACGTGGTGACCTGGAATGTTCTTGAACCACAGCATTCTGCATTCACAATCTGCCTCTCAAGATGGAGATGAGCCCAAGTGGCTACGAGCGCCACCTCGTGGAAAGTCTTCTCATGGCTTCTCCCAAGCCAAATCTGTCTGGCCCCTCTATCAGTTCTCTCCACCCCAAACACAGCAACTCTTCTTAGTGCTAAGTCCCTGTAAGGGTCTTTGCTTCCTCGACCCACCCTCCCTGCCTGAGGACTGAGGAGGCCTACCTGCCCTCAGCAGGCCTCTTTGGATAGGTAGATGGGAGGCGGTGGCTTAAGGTTCCAAATATGTCCTGTCTTTCTCCAGCGGTCATCTTACTGGTGGGGGGAGCAGGAAGTCAGGGCTTGGAGCTCTGACCTGTTGTCTTCTGCACCCCACCCAGGATGACCCCTGCCCACAGCAGGAAGGCCTTACGGAATTCCCGTATCGTCAGCCAGAAGGATGATGTCCACGTCTGTATCATGTGCCTGCGCGCCATCATGAACTACCAGGTTGGCTGGTGGCCATGGGACTAGGGGAGCTGGGGAGCGGGGCCTGTCTTCACTGGGGGTTGTGCAAATTGTGATATTTGGAGACCAAATGTCCTTCTCCCTGCATCCCCACCAGGGAACCCTGGGGATCTGGGCTGGTAGGGGATCTTGAGGCTGATGAATCTTGAGGGGATGCCCACATTTTTGCTCCCCCCTTGTCAGATCCCCTTGAGTGCTCCTGGGTGTGGCTGAGGCAAGGATGTGCCTCACATGGGGGCCAAGCAGAACTGAATAGCGAGGTCCATGGGGAGAGCATTTGGCCGTGTTTGGAGGAACGTGCGGGTGAAGCTTGTCTCTCTTATTTTCTCAGCCCTTAAGGACTCAGCATGTCCAAGGTGGCTGACACTGGCTTTGGAAAAGACAAATTAAAAGAGGGACAGTTTTAGGATCTGGCTGCTGCTGAAGAGATGTGGTCAGATATGAAAAAAAAAAATAACTTTCTAAGCTAAGGGCATTAGAGATCAGAAAGGCACGGCATCAAATATGTAGGAGGTGCTGACGGTCCTGAGGGCCTTCCCGGAGGCACTGACCTCTCTTCTCTCCCCAGTCTGGCTTTAGCCTTGTTATGAACCACCCGGCCTGTGTGAATGAGATTGCTCTGAGTCTCAACAATAAGAACCCCCGGTAAGGTTCACGTCCCTAACCTGTCTCCACATGTAGACTCTTCTACTTAACCCCTTGCCTACTCTGTCCCCCAGTTCTCAGGACTGCTGCCCAGACTCATCCCACCTCTGCTGCCAATGCCCCTGTCCTCCTCTAGCCAGGGCCATGCCCACCCTGGCCATGGGCATTGCTGGTTCCTGAGGGACTACTTGTCTACTCTTTCCACAGAACCAAGGCCCTGGTGCTGGAGCTGCTTGCGGCTGTGTGCCTGGTGCGGGGAGGACACGACATCATCCTTGCAGCCTTTGACAATTTCAAGGAGGTACCGGAGTCCCCATCCAAACACATACTTGCCCCTGGGGCTGGTAGTTGTAGCCTCTGATGGGGGCAGCTGAGGATATTGGGTAGGCATTTGGGGAACCCAGAGGACAATCTGGGATAAGGAAGTTCTGCAAGGAAGGTACAGAGTCAGGTGGGGGCACTGGCTGACTGGGACAGGGACAACTATAGGGATCTGCTAAGCCTCTGATTCTCAGCCTTGCCAGGTCCGAATTGGACTTGACATCTTGGGGTTGCGCACTCTGGCTAATAGGCTTGCTAGAGTGGTTGTGTGGGAATATAGTGCATAGAGCTGGATGTGTTCCTTCATTCCTTAATGAATGTTTACTGAGGACCTATTATGAGCCAGGCAGGAATGGGACCCTGGGATATCAGTAAGCAAGAGAAACAAAAAAGCAGAGAAGACATATAATAAACAATGTAATAAATAAGGAAATTACATAGTGTGTTAGGAAATGATAAGTGTTGTAGGGAAAAAGAGACACTGGCGGGGCTGTGGCTCAAGCGGTAGCGTGCTCGCCTGGCATGCGTGCGGCCCGGGTTCGATCCTCAGCACCACATACAAACAAAGATGTTGTGTCTGCCGAAAACTAAAAAAAAATAAATATTAAAAAATTCTCTCTCCCTCTTTAAAAAAAAGAGAGAGAGAGACACTGGCTCGGGGGAGAACTGGTTGCAGGGTGGTCAGGGAGCCTCATTGAGAAGGTAAGACTTGAGCAAAGCTGTGAGAGAGGTGAGGGTGGGTGTGGTCATTGTTGAGGCAGTTGGAATAGCACGTGCAAAGGCCTTGAGGTGGGAGTGTGCCCACGTGCAGAATAAGTGTACAAGAGGGCTCTGGGAGGGGACTGAGAGAGAGTGGAGTTTGCAGCAGAAGACTGACATGGCTTAACTTAGATATAACTGATGAGGACCTTGTAGCCATACAAGGGTGACAGCCAGGATGGCTTAGGAGATGTGTTACTGGGTTCTCAGTGAGCACCATTCCCCTTACCCAGGTATGTGGGGAACAGCACCGCTTTGAAAAGCTCATGGATTATTTCCGGAACGAGGACAGCAATATCGACTTCATGGTAAGCTTAGGAGGCTGGCTGGGGCCCAGGCCAGGCCCTGTTGGGTTCAGGGAGCGGCAAAGACCTGGGTGGCTGGGCTCTGGGCTCTGGGCTCTGCCCCAGTAAAGCATGAGGACTGACTGGCCAGTGGGGAAGGAGTGGGTGTTGGGGGAAGAGGGCTAGATTGGGGACATAGAGGTGACAACACTGTGTTAGTGGAGTAAATACTGTGGAGAGGTAGGGAGACTTGGGGATGAATGGGGGTTGAGCACCCCCTACCTAGAGGATCACAGACTTGCTCTCCTGGGCCCCCAGGTGGCCTGCATGCAATTCATCAACATTGTGGTACACTCGGTGGAGAATATGAACTTCCGTGTCTTCTTGCAATATGAGTTCACTCATCTGGGTCTGGACTTGTACTTGGAGGTGAGCACTGCACTCCTTCCCCTTCCCCCGACATAACCATCAACCAACACAGATTTTGGCCAGGTGGTTGGCAGATCTGGGTTCAGATCCTGGCTCTGCTACTTCCTAGTCATGTGATCTTGGATAGATCTGTTCCTCTCTCTGAGTTCCTCTCTCTCAATTTTCCCATCTGTCAAACAAGAAAATCATAGAAGTAATAATGACTCTAATGTGTAGAACAGTGCCCAACACAGGATAGGCACCCAGTCCAGCAGCTTTTGTGGCAGGCACTGGAATACACTTCAGTGGCCCTGGGTCTGATTCTGGGAGTACCAGCTCAGATAGCCACTCTCACTCTAGAACATAATAGGGAGCCCATAGATATTAGGCAGGAAGGTCTGGGCCCTGGGAAGGTGGGCAGAGGTCTTGGGGCTTCTTGGCCCAGCCTAAGCAGAGAAACTACAGCTTCTGCCCAGATTCCTTTTGGAGGTTTGCTGGAGGAGTAGGGCCTCTGGGATTGGATTTTTGAAAGCCAAGATTGACAAAGGTGAAGAGCAGTCTCAATTTATATATATGTACAGTGGAATATATTCAGCCATAACAAAGAGACATAGTACTGACAGGTTACATGGACAAGCCTTAAAAACATCACCTTAAGTAAATGAAGCCAGACACAAAAGGCTACATATGTGATTCTTTATATGAAATGTCCAGAATGTATAAATCCATAGAGACAGGAAGTAAATGAATAAAAAAAAAAAAGAAAGAAAGATAGTAAGTAAATGAATGGTTTCCAGGGGATAGGGAGAAGGGAATAGGGAGTGACTAATGGGGTATAGGATTTTTTTTTGGGGGGGAAGTGTGATGAAAATGTTCTCGAATTAGATAGTGATGATGACAATCTTGTGAACGTACTAAAAACTCTTGAAGTATATACTTTCAGATGGTGAATTTTATCGCATGTGAATTATATCTCAATAAAAAAATAAAGAAAAAGGCAGGCTAGGGTTCAGGCCCCTTCCTCTGGTCCCAGTAATGGTGAATGGTCAGAAAGACCCCCCCAAATTAGGCCTCACCCTGCTCATTCCATCTGGGGACAGAGGCTTCGGCTTACGGAGAGTGACAAGCTGCAGGTCCAGATTCAGGCATATCTGGACAACATTTTTGATGTGGGTACGCTGTTGGAGGACACTGAGACCAAGAATGCTGTGCTGGAGCACATGGAGGAGCTGCAGGAGCAAGTGGCACTGGTGAGAGCCGGTCCTGAACCCAGCCCAGCACATAATAAGCCCACTGAACACATATCTGTCTCAGGGTCCTAGGGCCCGAAGGCATAATAAGGCACTGAAGGGCAAGCACTGTTCTGGATGTGAATTGGAGGTGGCTGTCCGTCTAGCCCCTGAGTTTGGCCTGAATCCAATTCCTGAGTCCTTTGGGTGTCTTTCTCAATGAGTATTCAGCGAGCTCCTGCACTGTGTGGGATTTATGTGAAAGGCAGGCGCCTCCTCCACAGATGCTCAAACCCCAAGCTTTGACTTGGAGGAACTGGGTGCCCGGGGTCCCTCCTAGCTCAGTCTCCTCCTTCCCACCCACCTTTCTCATCGGTGGTGCCTTAGTTTCCCCTCCTCTTACTGAGGTTCAAGTACCAGGCTCGGCCCACCCTTGGCACGAGGGGCTGAGCGGATCTGGGAGCCTCCCCCAGCTCCAGGCAGGCTTGCCTGATGCCGCCCCCTCACCGGCGGTGCCAGTGCTGCCTGGCCGCGGGTGGTAGCTCACCATGTGCCGGTGCTACAGCTGACGGAGCGGCTTCGGGACGCAGAGAACGACTCCATGGCCAAGATTGCTGAACTGGAAAAGCAGCTAAGCCAGGCCCGCAAGGAACTGGAGACCCTGCGGGTGAGGCTGGGGTTTGGGCTGGGGTGGGCTCCTAAGAACAGGCTGGCTGGGGTTTCTGGGCTTGACAGCTCCTCCCTAACCCTGGGAAAGGATGGGGACTTTGTACCACGGAACCCGGAGCCTGCCGGTGGGCACTGATTCCTTCCCTGGGGCTTTCAGGAACGCTTCAGCGAGTCAACCCCCATGGGCATCTCCAGACGTCCTCCGGAGCCTGAGAAAGTGCCTCCTCCCGCCCCGGCACGGCCCTCCGCCCTGGAGCTGAAGGTCGAGGAGTTGGAGGAAAAGGGGTTAATCCGAATCCTGCGGGGGCCCGGGGATGCCGTCTCCATTGAGATCGTCCCAGTCACTGTGGCAACCCCAAGCGGCAGTGATGCTCCTACTCCGGGGTTGCCCAGCTGTTCCCCCAGCCCAGGTGCGCGGGAGCTTCAGGCTGGGGTGGGGTGCAGTGGGGGCGGGGGATCAGGGCCTGGAAGGGGAACCTGGGGCCAGGTCTGGCACCGAAGAGTCAGCAGAGGGCGGTCTGGGTTGTGGGTGTGGCTCAGATAGGCGCAGGTAAGTCGCAGGGTAGGGAGGCGGACCTGAGACCGCCTAAGCCAGGGAGTTGACTCGCTCCTCCCCCGCCCCGCCCTCGCTGGCTTCAGATCTCCCACCTGCAGCAGAGCTGGCTCCTGGAGCAGCACCGCCCGCGCCACCACCCCCACCGCCTGGCCTCCAGTTCCAACAGGAAGCCCCTCCCTCGACGCCCCCACCGGCCCCGCCCCTCCCGGGTAGCCCAGAGCCCCCGCCCGCACCACCGTTGCCAGGAGACTTACCGCCCCCACCCCCACCGCCTCCGCTGCCACCTCTCGGCACTGACGGACCAGTGCCACCGCCGCCCCCACCGCCGCCCGGAGGTCCCCCTGATGCACTTGGAGGGCCTGGCCCAGAGACGAGCTTAGGTGAGTGGAGTGGACCCCCTCGAGCCCAGGGCTTGGGGGAGATGAGTAGAGCCCCAGCCTCAGTGTCCTCCAGGACCCTCTGTCCAGGGGCTTCCTACTGCCTCCTGCTGCCCTGTCAGGCCTTGCTGGGCTGGTTGCCTCTAGCGCCCCCAGTGCTCACCACTCCCTCCCGGCCCCAGGAGTGAAGGCCAAGAAACCCATCCAGACCAAGTTCCGGATGCCACTCTTGAACTGGGTGGCCCTGAAACCCAGCCAGATTACAGGCACCGTGTTCACAGAGCTCAACGATGAGAAAGTGCTACAAGTGAGTGCACCTGTCTTGCTCCTAGTGTGGGCATCAAAGAGGTGGGGGCTTGCCAGGATCATGGGGGTGTCATCTCCACCCAGTTTTACAGAAGTGGAGATGGGCAGAGCATTAAGCTACACTGCCTTGGTGCATTGGTCTAGTAGGCAGTGGTATACTGACCTCTCTGGAGTCTTTACCCTCCTTTCCTATAGAGGGGCATATCCCTCCCCCCAGTCTGGCTTCTTCTCCTTTCAGGCCCTTTTCCTACCACTTCCTCACAACCAGGACCTTAGCCCTCTTGATTCCACTTTCAGTTTTCCAAAAGGGATGTGTTCCATTGCTTCTGAGCCATTGATCATTCTGTTCCCTTTGCCCTTCCCTTTTCCCTGATGACCAGTTCACTCCTTTCTTAATGGCTCAAGGCTGGGTCTTCTAGCCTGGGTGGTTCTCTTCTTCCTCAGTGTTCCTTGTGCTTCTCCTGTATCAGGGCCTATGTTCTATTTGGGTTACTGCTTTGTCTCTCTGCTGATGGCCTATCAGGGCTGAACCAGTGGTTCTATCATTGAACACAGTGCTCACCCGGAGTGTGCCAGACCTTGGCCCCACCCAGCCCCATCTTCTCTCCCTGTACCCTAGGAACTGGACATGAGTGACTTTGAGGAACAGTTCAAGACTAAGTCTCAAGGCCCCACTCTGGACATCAGTGCTCTCAAGGGCAAGGCAGCTCACAAGGCCCCCAGTAAAGCAACACTCATCGAGGCCAACCGGGCCAAAAACCTGGCCATCACTCTGCGCAAGGGCAATCTGGGGGCCGACCGCATCTGCCAGGCTATTGAGACGTGAGTGCCCTGCTCTGGGCTTTTGGCAGCTCAGCCCCTCTACTAGGCTGGGATCTTCAGGCAGAGCCTAGTAAGAGCCCCAGCTGGGGGACAGAGCCTATAAACTTCATTGGAACCATGGACAGGGAACCTTATTTCCATTTTCAGGGGTTAAGAAAACTGAGTCCAGGCCTAGATTGGGACATCCCACTCCCTTCTTGCCTCTTTGGCAGAGAGATTTATAGTAGGGCATCTGCCACTGATGAATGATGGGGACCTGGGCTCCCAAACTCCTATTCCCGAAACTCCTACTTCTTGTTCTCTGAAGCTGTCAGCAAATAGTAAATATTTAAGTTCATTTATTCAACCAAAGGAGGGAATGTAGTCTTGTTCTCTGGGCTGGTGGATATGGGGTTTAAACGGCTGGCTCCTCTGCTCACCCATCAGGTACGACCTGCAGGCTCTCGGCCTGGACTTCTTGGAGCTTTTGACCCGCTTTCTGCCCACGGAGTATGAGCGCAGCCTCATTGCCCGCTTTGAGCGGGAGCAGCGTCCCGTGGAGGAGCTGTCGGAAGAGGACCGCTTCATGCTACGCTTTAGCCGCATCCCACGCCTGCCGGAGCGCATGTCCACACTCACCTTCCTGGGCAACTTCCCGGATACGGCCCAGCTGCTCATGCCGGTGTGGGCGGGGCGGGCAGGGCAGTGTGGCCTGGGCTTTGGGTGGGGGGAGGCATCTCTCAGCCCAGGCTTCATCTGGGAGGACCTGAGCCTCTTGTTGAGGGTGCCTCCAACTTACCTCCCCTGTCTCACCTCCAGCAACTGAATGCCATCATTGCAGCCTCGATGTCCATCAAGTCCTCTGACAAACTCCGGCAGATCCTGGAGGTGAGAGCCCAGGGCAAGGGGCCCAGAGGCTGGGCCCATCCTGGCCTCTTCTAAATAGTGTGAGAAGGCCCCGCCCACGTAGTGTACAACAAAGATAATGTTCCCACTTCTCATGTACATGCTTTGAAAGACAAAACTAGATCGGGGTGAGGATTGGTGACAGCAGCCATGTCTTTAACAGGGTATCTGAGACCCTGCCAGAGGGGTCAGCCCCTCTGGGTATTGCTGTGTGAGCAGCAGTGGACCGTCCCAGGAGGGGACCAGTAGTAATGATTGCCAAAAGGGTGACAACCCTTAGGAGGGGAAAGTGGCTGCCAATTTTGGGTTGGACCAGCAGAGGGCAAAATTGGGTATGTTCATGGGTTAACCATGCACACATGTGAGACGTGCAGACACACAAGTACGTGTGTCATGGAGAGAGAGTTCCATTCAGAAGTGTGGTAGGGCTGTGTGTGTGCAGGCTCACTTTTCGTCACCTTTTCTCTTGTGTAATGTTTACTTAAGGGGCTTCCCCAGCCCTGGTACCCTGTTGAGTCTCTTCCCCTGCCTCTCCCAGATCGTCCTGGCCTTTGGCAACTACATGAACAGCAGCAAGCGTGGGGCAGCCTATGGTTTCCGGCTCCAGAGTCTGGATGTGGTGAGGTGGGGGGGGCCTGGCGTGGGGGCTGGGGGCTGGCTGGTGGCCTGTGGCTTACAACAGGTCTTTGCTCAGCTGTTGGAGATGAAGTCGACTGACCGAAAGCAGACGCTGCTGCACTACCTGGTGAAGGTCATTGCTGAGAAGTACCCACAGCTCACAGGCTTCCACAGTGACTTGCACTTCGTGGACAAGGCAGGCTCAGGTATAGAGCAGCCAGGGCCCTGAGCAGGCAGGCAGTTCAGTCCGGAGGCCACTGGGAAGCAAGGGGACTGCAAGATGTAACTGGGTGGGAGTGCTGCCACTCAGATTCCTTGAGTTCACGCTGCCCCGCCTTCCACCCAGTGTCCCTGGACAGTGTCCTGGGGGATGTGCGCTCCCTGCAGCGAGGCCTGGAGTTGACACAGAGGGAGTTTGTGCGGCAGGATGACTGCTTGGTGCTTAAGGAGTTCCTCAGGGCCAACTCTCCCACCATGGACAAGCTACTGGCAGACAGCAAGACTGCTCAGGTGGGCTGGGGCTGGCCTGGTCTGGAGCTAGGGAAGCTGGGTTGGGGAAATGAAGGAGTCCTTGCCATTGGATCACTAGATGGGGGTGTATAGCCCAGGCCTGGAGGGGTGTGGCCACAGCTGGGACCCTTTGGGGATGAAGCAGAAGTGAAGGGCCACCTGCCTGGAGGAGCAGATGAAGTGGCCAATGTCCTGAGGAGGTATAGAGCAGCATCAGGCTCTGAGGAGCCCATGCTAACAGGGCTGATGGGCTGTGCCAACAGGAGGCCTATGAGTCTGTGGTGGAGTACTTCGGAGAAAACCCCAAGACCACATCCCCCTCCATGTTCTTTTCCCTCTTCAGCCGTTTCATCAAGGCCTACAAGGTATGTATGTGTGGTGGGTGGGCTGGGAGCCCTGAAGCCTTTCTGCATGGGCAGTGGGAAAGGCAGAGGCTGCTTCTCTCTTGGGTGGGTCAGAGTAGGAGTAAGGATTGCCCTCACTGAGAATTGCCTTCGACCCTCAGAAAGCTGAGCAAGAGGTGGAACAATGGAAGAAGGAAGCAGCTGCCCAGGAGGCAGGTGCCGACACTCCAGGCAGGGGGGAACCCCCAGCACCTAAGGTATGCAGCTGCTGCTGAGCCTGGTAGTGGGATGCAGGGATGCAAGGTATCCTCACACTCTCTGGCCCCATCCCCATCCCCATTGTTAGGGACACACCCTTTACAAAGACAGTGCCCTAGGAGCCAGGGATGGGAGTGGGTTCCTTTTGTTCCAGTCACCTGTCCTTGCTGTGAGGCACTAGAATTGAGTGGGGTGGAGGGATCCTGGAATTGGAGCTATGTATATATCTCCTTCAGTCTCCACCCAAGGCCCGGCGACAACAGATGGACCTCATCTCTGAGCTGAAACGGAAGCAGCAGAAGGAGCCACTCATCTATGAGAGTGACCGTGATGGGGCCATTGAAGACATTATCACAGGTGAGGGCTTGGCCAGGCACCTGTTCTGTCCTTCTAAGCTGTTCTTTGTCTGGACCCCAACCAGGGGTCTGGCTGCCTTACTGCCTCTTGCTACCTTTTCTGTTTTTCTTTTCTTTTTCCTTTCTCTACCCCCTACCCCTTCACCCTCAGTGCTCAAGACAGTGCCCTTCACCGCCCGCACTGGCAAGCGGACATCCCGGCTCCTCTGTGAGGCCAGCCTGGGAGAGGAGATGCCCCTCTAGCCCCCAGGTACCTGTCACATCGCTGCTGACAGCTCTGGGACCCTTGTGGGCATTGTTACTCTTCCCTCTCCTGTGCTAGTGCATGGCTGGAATGTATTGCAGGGCAGATGGGAGGTCTGGCAAATGTAAACAGTGCCCCTTCCCCTAAATACACAACCTGGGTTCTCATAAGGCTGAGCGTGTATCCTGGAGCTTGGTCCCAGCTCTGGGCAGACTCCTGAAGGGCTAACTATCTCCTTTGGTTGCCAGATCTACGGAACCAGCCCTACATCCGCGCAGACACAGGCCGTCGCAGTGGTCGTAGGCGCCCTCCAGGACCTCCCCTGCAGGTCACCTCTGACCTCTCGCTGTAGCCTATTTCCGCAGGTGGATTCTGTAGGGGGTGGGGTTGTAGGCAGGCTGGGCCTCAAGGAAGGTGGGCCTCTGGGCAACCCCTCCTCCTGCTGCCTGGCACCTTGGCCCTCCTTAAAGGGGCCAGCACAGCCTCCTCCTGTTGGAGGCAGAGTCACCTGGTCTCAATCCTCAAATGCTGCTTGCAGCACCCCTCCCCCAATAGCCATACTTAGCCTGAGCGGGAGCCTGGCCTGTAACTTATAAAGTGCACCTTGCCCTCCCCCATGAACTCCCACCCCCAAAGACTCTCCTTGGACCTTATTTTTATACAAGATTAATAAAGATGTTTGCAAAAAATCAGCGTCCGTTCGGTGCCCACTCCCATTACACACAGTCGGTTTCGCTCAGCAAACGCTTTACTTGTACAAGTTCTTCACAGCTTGTTTCTGCAAAGAGGCTGGTGAAGGGGAGAAGGGTTGCTTCTGCACTAGAGTCGCAGGGGACAGAGCCCGCTTTGAGAGGCCTATTTGCTCCAGCGACTCGTCGACGTACCCTGCGGGAGGGCGGAGGGAGCACGTGGAGGGTGTAGCCGGCAGTTCAGAGATGCGGAGGGTGTAGCCAGCAGCTCGGAGATGCGGAGACTCGCAGGATTAGCACCTCCTAGGTCCGCCTTGCTGCTGCCCCCCACTTCCGCTGGGGCCTCCTACCTGGATACCTCGCCCCCTTTTCCTTTGCGGGTCCTACTTTAGTCACGCCTCCCTCGGCGCCTGCGCCTACTCCGTCCCCGTTTCTTTCGGTGTACTCCCACTCTTCGCCTGCCGCCCGCCAGTCCCGCCGCATCTGCTTTATCGCCTCCGCCCCATCTGCCCTGTCCTGATTCTCCCCGGCCCGCCCGCCCTTCTCCGGCGGAGCCCCTGGTCTGCATCGCCAGCCCAGCGCGCCTGCTCTCACCTGGGCTGAGCGGTCCCAGGTTGGGCAGGAGCTTGGAGCGGCCGGGCTGGTGGGGCTTGGGAAGGCGGATGTCGCGGGGGCCGGGGATTCGGCTCCGCGTGCTGCATTCTGGCCGCATCCGCCCGGCCAGTTTGGGTATCTGAGAGGAGGGGTTGCGCGCACCTGGGGCAGGCGCCCGGCAGGAGAAGGGGGAGGGGATAGTGGTGCCGGGAGTGGGTCCTCGGAGGCCAGAGGTGGTGGCGGGGACTGTGAGTGACCGGAAGAGTCCCCTTTCCAGTGGCCCCCAGCCCCGCGCCTCTGACCCCCGGCCTCTACCCACTGAGCGCGCACTCGGTTTGCACAGTGTGTGCAGAGAGCGCGCTAGCTCCGTGTTGGAGAGGCCGCTGACGCGCGCCGCCTGACAGAAGAAGTTGAGGCCAGCGTGGGCGCGCGACGGCCGGCCCTGGCCGCGGGCCCGATCCCTACAGCCCGGGCTCAGCTGCAGAGCCCTCTGCTTCTTGAAGTAGTAGCTTGAAGGAGAGAAGTGGGGTATCCGTTTTAGACAATGCCTCCTTCGTCCTCTCCATCTCACAGGCACCGAAACTCAAGGAGAACAGTAAGCTACTTGTCTTTGTCTGGGGTGGCTTGGGGCCCAGGAAAAGGGCCCAGAGTTCAGGGCTCCTATCTTTGGGGCTTGGGATCTAGGGACGGTTGTGCCCACCTCATCACCTCCTGTGCGGACTTGGAGGGCACAAAGCCCTGGTTAAGCAGCTTCAACAGGATCTCTATGAACAGGGTCTTTAGGCTCCTGGGGTCACAGACCCGACGGTTTCTCACTTGCCCTGGGGACAGCAAAAATGAGTGTGAGGAGAGGCCTCCGCCCCAGGCCAGGCCCACTCCTGCCACACCAGTCTTGTGCTCATGCATGCATTGAGCCACGTAATGGTTGTCAGTGAGGACACCCAGGAAGTCTTTGAAGCTTACGATTCCATCACCTGGAAATAGAGAGTGGAGGATGCAATGGGTGCCTGCCCCTGCAGAAGCCTTGCCCTGTATACACAGACTCAGGGTTCCCATGTGTGTGGTTCACCTTGCTGTCTGCCTCTCCCTGCCTGCCCTTCCAGGATATTTCAAATTGTTCATCTGCAGCCCAAAAGGTACACGCATAGCATGAAAGTTGCCCTGTGCAATGTGGATATCCAACTGGGTCCACAGAGAAGCTAAAGGTAGACCCTAATTTGAGTAGGGGAGAAATAGCCCTTGCGTTGGGGCAGCCACATGTCAGGATAAGAATTAAATCAGCAGCAATGTTTAAAGGCCATGAGATAATGGTGATGAGGACTCTTTTCCCAGGAGAGGGAACTTTAAAGTACAACTAGGGAGGAATGTTGTGGACAGGGGTAGCATTCATCAGGAGACTATCTGGAGGTGGGAGAGTGCAAGAGGGCAGAGATGGGACACCCACCATCCAAGTCTGCCAGCCGAAGAGCCTCACACATCTCCTGAGGGCCCAGTTGGATACCCACATTGCGCAGGGCAATTTTCATGCTGCGCATGTCCACGGTGCCTGTTGGGCTGCAGCTGAACAGTTTGAAGATATCCTGGAAGGCTGAGGGTAGAGGGGAGCAGGCAGCAAGGTGAACAGCACACATAGGAACCCTGAGCCCTAAGATCTGCCTATTGCAGCTAAGGTGGAATATCTGATGCCTTAGGTTACCTCAGCCCCCTGGGCATATATAACTTTTAATACAAATAACAGTAGTGGCAGCTTTGTATTGGCACTTTAGTGCCCATTCAGTCTTGAAATTCAAACATGAGTCTTGGACATGTTTATATGAAAAGCATTCAAAACTCATGTTCAAGGTCATACCTGGCAGTCTGACTAACTATGATGCCCTGGAACCCTGCTGGGGCCTGGCATATAGCAGGCACTGAAAAGTGTTGATGTAGAAAATTATTCTGCTCTGAAAGGCCCCTACCAACACCAGGATATATCTTTGAGGAACACTGGGGAAGTAATTCTTTCTACTCTTGCACTCCCCACCCATAGCCTAGATCCTAGGCAACAGGGGAATTCATTCTTTTTTTCATCCTGTCTCCTTCTTTCCCTCTTCCCTTTTTCCTTTCCATCTTGCCTATCTGTCCATTTGTTCAGCCATCCATCTATCCATCCAATACCATCATTTGACTATCCAACACTCCATCCAGTTTTCTTTCCTTCCTACGCATGCGTGCACACACACACACACACACACACACACCAGGCACATCAGTGAATTTCAGTTTATAGAGATTAACAAATTTATATTGGCATGGAGGGAAGGTTATAAATACTGGCTTCTTGCAAGGTTTACAGATACTGACCCCAGCCTCAGGGCGGAAAACCTCTCATAGTTCTGCCCTGAGCACCCCCTAATTTCCCTCCCTACTCCCAGCCTAGGACTCTCACCTGTCAGCTGCCGGGGTGTCAGGGGCAGGAGATTCTCATCTGTCATGCTGCCCCAGGGGGAAGAGGTTGGTCAGGTCTTGGCACCTGCTGCAGAGAGATGCCAGGGCCAGACAGGCCTTACCCAAACCCAGTGCCCCCGGTCTGGCTTCCCCACCCTCACCTCTGAGATCTGGCATCTGGTCCTGACCAAGCTGGGTGGGCAGCCACAGGGCTCTTGAATTCTTTTGCCCTCTGTGTAGTCTGCTCAGTCTTTGTGGCTATGGCTTCTGGTGGCTCTGTTTGGGTCATTTGGGCAGTGTGCAGCTGACACCTCCCTTTCTGCACCCTGCTGGACTGCTCCTCACCTCGATCTTGTGTGAGCAGCCTTCGAGGCTTCTGTGGAGGCCTTAGAGGCATGGAGAAGACAAGGCAGAGGGGCTCAGGCCACTGGAATATGCTGACTCCAGGGGATCTGGGACCAGGCCTGTGGGTGTGTGCAGGTCTACCTTCTCCCATGAGGTACCCATAACCCTCCCTCCAAGAGGTTCTGAGGGCAGGGCTATGGCAGTGATACTCCCCCCCCCCCACCTCTGGTGAGGGAGGAGGACCCTCCTCCAACCCTGATCACCTGTACCTTTTCTGTGTGGGTGGGGATCTCTTGGTCTTCTGCCTTCTTCTGCCTGAAAGGCGGAGTCATAGGCTCTGAGGCTGCTCCAGTGCCCAAAACCTATAGCCCCCAGGCTGCCTTTGTGGTGGATTTTGTCTTTGGTGGGAGATACACTCTCTCTCTCACCAGAGATCTGCTTCTCCCTGTTGATCACCTGCTGCTTTATTCTTCTGAGTTTTTGCCTCCCTTAAGACACCTGAACTTGTGACTCCACTCTGGATATTAAGTCAGAATGACAGAGGCCCAGAGAAGTAGGTCCCAGGAGCCCAAAGCCAAGAACTGAGAGGGTGAGGGTCCAGCCCAATATAGACCTGTCTGCCATATTAAAAAAAATTCCATGAAACCTTAATAAATTTAAAAGAATAAGAATTATATAATGTCTGCTCTTGGGTCATAATGGAATTAAAATAGAAATCAATAATAGAAAGATAGCTGGGAGGCCAGGCATGGTGGTACATGCTGGTGATCTCAGATCCAGCTATTCAGGAGGCTGGGGCAGGACTACAAATTTGAGGACAGCCTGGGTATCTTTTTTTATTTTTAAATATTTATTTTTTTAGTGGACACAATATCTTTTTTTTTCATGTTCTCAAAAATCTTTAATGACAGAGTTCATGTATAAATAGACGAGTTGGGTGGAAACCATCTGTAACAGCACAATTTCATAAGCGCACACAGACGTGACACAGCAGCCTCTTGGGATCCAGGGTGCTACCTATGAGAAGGGGTTCCGCATCATCCTCCACAGGTGTAAATGGAGGCAAGATGGGCAAGCAGTGAGTGGACACAATATCTTTATTTTTCATTTATGTGGTGCTGAGGATCAAACCCAGTGCCTCATGCATGCTAGGCGAGCACTCTACCACTGAGCCACAACCCCAGCCCCATGGACATCTTAAAAAAAAAAAAAAAGGCTGGAGATGCAGCTGGTTGAAAACTTGGCTACCCTGCAGAGGCCCTGGGTTCATCCTCTAGTACTGGGAAGTGAGGGGAAGATAGCTGGGAGATCCCCAACTTAGTGATTAAATAACACACTTCTAATTAATACACGGGTCAAACAAAAATCTCAAGAGAGGTTAAAAATATTTGAAACTAAATGAAAATAAAAATACAGTTCATTCAAAATTTGTGGGCTATAAGCAAAAGCAATGCTAAGAGGGAAGTTTATAGAATTAAAATGAATATTTTAGAAAAGGAGGAATATCTAAAATCAATAAGTATCTATCTTAAGAAACTAGAAAAAGAAGAACAAATTAAATCCAAGGTAAGTAAAGATAATACAAATTGAAAACAGGAAATCATTACAGAAGATCACCTTAATCAAAAGCTGGTTCTTTGAAAAGATCAGTAAGATCAATTAGGCTCCAGCTAGGATAATAGAAAGAAGAGGGAGTGAGGGAGGGAGGGAGAGAGAAATGATGCAAATTATTAATAATAGAATGAAAGAGAGAACATCATTCTAGATATAATGGACATTCAAAGGATTAAAAAAAGGAATATTATGGATGACTCTATGCCTATACATTTGATAATCTAGATGAAATGGACAATTCATTGAAAAACGCAATCTGCCAAAAATAACACATGGAGAAATAGAATATATTAAAGAAGATGAATCAATAATTAACAACCTTCTGTTCTGAGGATGTACCTCAGTGGTAGAGTGCTTGCCTGGCATGCATGAGTCACTAGGTTTGATCTTTAGCACCACATAAAAATAAACGAATAAAATAAAGGCATTCTATCCACCTACAACTACCAAAAGAAAAAAAAAAGTTAACAACCTTCCAAAACAAAGAGCACCATGCCCGATAGGTTTACTGGTGAATTCTATCAAATATTTAAGAAAGAAATTATATCAATCCTTTCTCTCTTTTTCTGTTAGTATGGCTAGAGCTAATTGATTTTATTGATCTTTTTCAAAGAACTAGCTTTTGATTTTGATGATTTTCTCTATTGATTTCCTGTTTTTGATTTTGTTGATTTTTGCTTTTATTTTTATTTATATTTATTCTACTTGAATAAAAATTATACATCACAACCAAATGGGATCTATTACAGGAATGCAACATTTGAGATTTAGTTATTGTAATCCATCACATCAATAGGTTAAAGAAGAAAAATCACATGATCATATAAATACATGCAGAAAAATGACAAAATTCAATACCCATTCATAACAAAAACTCGAGAAATAGCGAACTTTTCAACTTGATAAAGAACATTACAAAAAAATCTATAGTGAGTGTGGTGGTGCATGCCTGTAGTCCCAGAAACTCAGGAGGCTGGGCTGGGGATGTGGTTCAAGTGGTAGCACGCTCGCCTAGCATGCATGAGGCACTGGGTTCAATTCTCAGCACCACATAAAAATAAAGATATTGTGTCCACCTAAAACTAAAAAATAAATATTAAAAAGATAACTCTGGATGTTGAGGCAGGAGGATCATGAATTAAAAGTCAGCCTCAGACACTTAGCAAGACCTTATCTCAAAATAAAAAATAAAAAGGGCTGTGTATGTGATTCAGTGGTTAAGCATCCCTAGGTTCAATGCCTGGTACCAAAAAAAAAAAAAAAAAAAAGAATGAATAAATAAATTAATTAATAATAAAGAGTCCAGGTTAAGTCAGGTTTAGTGGCACATGCCTGTAATCTCAGCGCCTCCAGAGACTGAGACAGGAAGATCTCAAGTTCAAAGCCAGCCTCAGCAATTTAGTGAGGCCCTAAGCAATTTAGTGAGACCCTGTCTCAAGATAAAAAATAAAAATAAAAAGGGCTGGAGATGTGGCTCAGTGGTTAAGCACCCCTGGGTTCAATCTCCCGTACCCCCCCCCCCAAAAAAAAAAAGTCTATAGCTAGGAGGCTGGGGACATAGCTCAGTAGTAGAGCATTTGCCTGGAATGTGCAAGGCCCTGGGTTCAATACCTAGTACCTGAAAAAATAAATTAAAAAAAAAAAATCCACAGCTAACATTATACCTAGCAGGGAGAATCACAAAGCTTTCATGTGAAGATGCAGAAGATGTCCCCTCTAATCCCTCTAATTGCTGTTTTTTTAAATTTTATTTTATTTTTAGTTGTTGATGGACCTTTATTTATTTATTTGTATGTGGTGCTGAGAATCAAAACCAGTGCCTCACACGTTAGGCTAGTGCTTTACCACTGAGTCACAATCCCAGCCCTCTAATTGCTGTTTTTAATATTGTACTGGAAGTCCTAGATAATGCAGTATGATAAGAAAAGGAAATAAAAGGTATACAGATTGGGAAAAAATAAAGCTATCTTTGTTTGCCAATGACATGACTGTCATTCACCTACAATAAAATGAATCTAGACACAGAGTTTACATCCTTTTCAAAAAGCAACTCAAAATAGATCATAGAAGTAAGTGTAAAACACAAAACTCTAAAACTCCTAGAAGGTAACCCAGGAGAACACCTATCTGAGTGTGGGTATGGCAATGACTCTTTTTTGATGCAATAACAAAAATATGATCTGTAAAAGAAATAATTGATAAGCTGGACTTCATTAAAATTAAAAATTTCTGCTCTACAAAAGACAACATCAAGAGAATGAGAAGACAAACGGGACTGGGAGAAATTATTTGCAAACACACTGTTGATAAAGGACTGTAACTCTCAAAACTCAATAATAATGAACTACCCAGTTAAAAAACTGGCAAAAGATTTGAGCAGACACCTCCCAAAGAAGATACACAAATGAAAAGTGAGTGTAGGAGATGTTCAAAACCATATATTGTTAGGGAGATACCACATACTTCACACCTATTAGAATGCCTAAATTCAAAATACAGGCACCACCAAATACTGGTGAAGATGTGGAGCATCAGGAATGCTCATTTGTTGCTGGTGGGAGTGCAAAATGGTATAATCACTTTGAAAGACAGTTTGGTGGTTTCTTACAAAAAAGAACAAATCCATACCATATATACGGTAAAGCAATCATCCTCTTTGGTATTTACCCAAATGATCTGAAAACTGAAGTCCACACACAAACCTGCATGCAGATGTTTATAGTAGCTTTATTCCTAATTGCTAAGCGTTGGAAGCAACCAGGATGTAGGTGAATGGATAAGTAAACTGTGATATACCAGACAGTGGAACATTGTTCAGTGCTAAAAAAGAATCAAACCATGAAAAGACACGGAGGAAACAAACGCATATTATTAAGTGAAAGAAGCCAATTTGAAAGGCTATGTATGTTATCCAACTCATTCTGGAAGAAGCAAAATTAGACAGTGAAAGGATCAGCGGTTGCCTGGGAATGGGGGAAGGGAGGGATGAATAGGCTGAGTACATTAGAAACTATTCTGAACTCTCCCTTGATAAATACTTGTCAATATACATTGGTCAAAGACCTTAGAAGGTACAACACCAAGAGTGAACCTTCAAGTAAACTATAGACTTTGGGTGATGATGATTTGTTGATGTAGGTTCATTTTTGTGACAAATGTACCCGTGGTGCTGTGGGGTGAGTGGATAAGAAAGTATATGGGATCCCTGTACTTCAGGCTCAATTTTACAGTACCCCTAAAACTGCTCTAAAAATAAAATTTGTTTTTCAAAAAACAAAAATCAAAATACTCCAGAAAGATGAGTCCTGAGAGCCTAATGACAATTTGGGTCTAGCTTCACCTGGGACACTTTACCTTTTCATCATTGCTTGGTCCCTTCTTCCAGCCTCTGGCCCCCTTTTCCTTCTGGCCCTACCCATTCTCAACTACTCCCTTCTTCTAAATCTGTCTTCCTGGACTCCTCCCTCCTCCCTCCTCAATACCTGCCAGGCTCTTGAAGATGTGCAAAGCTGGGCTTTCCCTTGGCAGAGGGCCTGACATCCA